CCGCACTCAGCATCCTCGGATCACTCAGGAGCTCATGGGTGCTCACCACTGTTACTGTTGCAAGACAAGTGTCCAATCCCCATTTTGCAGATGAAGAAACTGAGGCCCAAGGCTACACAGCAAGGGGGTGGCTGAGCCGGACAGGAGAACCAGGGGACTGTGAGAGGACCGGCCCCTTTCTGCTGGCCCACCCGGAAGGACTCTCGGCCTCAGGATGAGCCTGATGAACCCGGGAGACCAGGAGTGCCATGCAGGCCCGCCAGACCAGAGACCCTCAGGTGAAGGCCAGCAGGCCCTGGCCCGCTCTTAGCGCCCTAACCTCAGTATCCTCATCTGGGACATGAATACGACAGGGTCCCTGGAGGGAGGTCGGCTGCAGGAGGCTGCAGGAGGCTGGCAGCATGCGCCAGGCCCCGAGGTGCTGGCCCTCCTTCCTGGCAGAGCTGCTCCTGGCTCTCTTCAAACTCTCAATTAGATGCAAACGCCGTCAGGTAGGAAGCCTTTGGAGAGGATAGAGCTGACACCTGGGATTATGTTATCAGATCGTTCCCCACCTGGCAGGCGACGGCCCTGGGCCTGGGCTGGGAATTGCTGGAGCAGGCAGGATGCACCTCTGTCACTTCTCGGCCTGAGCCTGGGCCCGGCCCCTGCTCCTTCCAGGGTCCAGTGCACGCCACATGCACTTTGGGAACAGCGCAATGGGCCATCCCTGGGGCCTCTAGAGGACAGCCTCGGTGCCACTGAGCTCAGGGGAAGTGAGAGCCCTCCCTCCTGCTCCAGAGGGACTTGCAGGGGTCTCAGCCTCCGGTCGCCCTGTTCTCCCCAGTCCCGGTGTGGTCATACTTCTACCAGCCCCCCACCGCGCCCCCTCCCCTCCTCGGGAGAGCCCAGTGTTTGGGAGCCTGATGGGGACAAGCAGCCTCATGAAAGGGCTTTTACTGTCCTGAGTCAAGCTGGGGGCAGCAACCAGGCACCAAGGCTCCCATTAGGGGCAGGGCCCAGAGAGTCCAGCCAAGACGCCGCTTCCCCTGGGGACAAGAGGCTCAGAGCCTGCAGACTAGGTTCTGGGCCCAGTTCCTCCAAGACGTCTGCCGTCTCTGAGCTGCACCAAGCCTCGGGTTCCTCATCCGCACTGAGGAGGCAATGTGTCCTTTATGCAGTCGCTGGGAGGGTTCCAGTGTAGGTAAAGTGCCCGCTCAGCACCTGGCATATACCTGGCATTTAATGAGCGCCTCATCAAGCTGCTTTTATTCTCCGGGAGCCAAGCCGTGAGCCAGGACATCAGCGTGTGAAGGCAGGGGGCTGACAGGAAAGACTGTGCGATTAATCAGGCATCAGGAAACCTGGTTCCAGTCTCTTGCTGCTGCGTAGCCCGAGGCAAGAAACTGAACCTCTCTGGGTCTCCGTTCCCAAGCCCGGACCCGGCAGGCACGAGAAGTGGGTTCTAGTCCAGCCTTGCGCACGCACTCTCCCTCGTACTCCCTCAGTGTCCTCACCCGCACACGATTCACCCCTGCCCCTGGGAGCTTCCCCGGACTGTCTGGGGTTGGCGAAGGGATCCCACTAGGGGCCTGCTGGGGGCACCCCCGCCACCGCAGCCCCCTCCAGGACCCAGCCCAGCCTCACCCCTCTCTCTCGGAGGCTGCAGTCAAGCAAGGCTGGGGCTCATCCCTCCTAGGCATGATGCTACAGGCCCGACCTCTGGTATGCAGTTGGAACCCCGAAGCAGGTTTTTCCCCAGGTAAATCACTGGTCTCGGGGAGGAGGGGTGGGGGCTCTGGCTCAGACACTTAGAGCCCACTGGGGCTGGAAGACAGCTCACAGAGCACAGGCTGCCTGCTCAGCGCCGTATAGCCAGTTCGGTTAGACCCAGGACCCAATCTTCAATGCCCGTACCCATTCTACAGATGAGATGACTGGGGCTCCGAGAAGAGCTGGGGCTTATCCCGGGTCCCCCAGCAGTGGAGGAAGAGCAGGGACTCTGGGCTCCTTGTACTGTGGCCCCCTAGTTTCATTCTAGTGTTTTGGGAAAGGGGGGAGTTCAGCAGCCTTGCCGGGAACACAGCCTCTCCCGGGCGGCCACACTGGGACGGGCTGTGTGCTGTGTCATTTCCCTGCCCCAGGGTCTGCCTGCCGTGCTGACGGGCCAGGCAGAGGAGGAGGAGGAGGTGGGCCGGGCCGCCCTGAGTCAGCACCAGCAGCCCCAGCCCAGGTGCCCCGGTGGGCAGGGGGTCAGTGTTCGGGCCAAGCAACCGGACAGCGGGCCCCCCATCCCAGGCCTGGGGAGGGGGGAGTGTTCTCCTCACATTGCTGCTGGGGGGGTGGGGGAGGACACGGGGGCGAAGGTAAAGAGGTGATTCACGGGGAGAGAGAAGGCAGGCAGAGCTCCCGGGGGCGGGCGGGCGGGCAGGCCAGGCAAAGCACCTCGTCAGCATCCGCCGTCAGCATCCGGCAGCGGCTTGGCCCAGCGCTGGAGCCTGGGAAGCCGCAGGAGCAGGGCAGATGGGAGGGTTGCAGGCCGCGTGGCCGAGCTGCCCCTCCCTGCCCTGCCTGTCACCGTGTTCTGTCAAGGCCAGGATGGGCAGGGGACCCGTCCTGGAGTCTAAGGACAACACAGGCCTGGTCCCCACCCCGCCACCCAAGAACTAGCTAGGTGACATCGGCAGGGACGAACCAGTCGGGCCTCAGTTTCTACATCTGGAAAATGGGCAGATCCCACTAGCTGAAATTATGAAGCACCTCACGCTCAAAAACCAGTAGCTAGTGTCATTACGCCCGCCCCCCCCACCCCCCCACACCAAGCTGGCCTCGGGTCCCTGGATGGATGTGACAGGGAAGCACAAAGGATGGGAAGCAGGGGCGTGGCTCACCATGGCGCTGGGGGTGTGAACAAGTCCCTCTTCTCCGTGCTCTCATCTGAAAGACCCCAGATCCTCCTGCTGGGTCCAAGAGTAGCAGGCAGTCTCAGCAGTGGGCCCCCATTCTCAGAGGGGTCAGGCGGCAATGCCAGCTGGTCAGGGGGCCCCGCCGATGGTGGTACCACACAGACCGAGGTTCCAACCCAAGATGGACCTCACCCTGCCATGTCACCTTAGACAGGCGAAGCCAACAGCCTGGTGGGGCTTTTGTGGGGAGCAAATGAAGTTACAAGAGGCCCATGGGACTGCATGGGGTGGCTGGGTCTCAGCCCTGGCCACAGACACGTGGGGAGGATGCCCTGCTGCCCAGCCTGGCCCTGGGTGCCCCTATCTGGCCCCATCACTGGGCCAGGCCATCAGTCTTCCTGTCTGGGGCAGATTAGACTTGCTGGCTGTTGCCATGCCGAGCAGGGATCTGGTGCCAGTCTCCTTCCTACTCCTGGTGGGGAGGAGACAGGTGGAGGAGGCAGAACCCTGGCACAGCAGGTCAGGGCCTCAGTTTCCCCATTTTTAAAAAAGGGGTCATGGGATCCCAACAGGCCCTCCCAGAGGACTGGGTTCCACGACCTCAAGTCAGACATGACATCAGCTGCACCTGCCTACCCCCTAGCAGCTGTGGGGCGGATTATTCAGCCCAAGGGCTACGAAGGCCCCTTCCTCCTCCCACTTTCCCTCCTCTTCCTGCAACTCTTCCTCACTCCGGTCACCCGATTCCATCTTCACAACGGCCAAAGACGCAGCTCCGTTCTCACCTCCACTTTACACACCAGAAACCCAAACCCCAAAGCTGCCTGGGATCAGGTCGAGAGCCAGGCTCCGAGACACAGGCTCTCCGACTCTGCCAGCCCCCTCAGGGGACAGGCACTCTACCTTTCTAGAAACCTAACCCATGGCCACCTTGTCAGCTCCTGACCCACTTCTGGTTTCTCGGCCTAAGAGTTTCCCCAGGCCCTGTCAGCCAGGATGGTCCCCAAAGCCAGCGTTCTGGGCTCGTACGATCTGCTGCCCTGCTCTGGGCCTGGCAAAGGGTTAGACTCTGCTAGAAATACCTCCACCAGCACAGATGTTGCTAACCAGTCACCACCCTCTACTGAGCTCAGACCTGGTCTCAGAATCTTTCTCAGCACAGCTCGCTTGGGCAGGCTTTATCAATCAGCTCGCGATGTGCTCTGAAACCACGGGAAGGCACTTCCCCTCGGCAGGAAGACGCACCAGCTCATGGCCTGGCTCGGCACGTGGTGAGCACCCCTTCTCAGGATGTGCGTCAGTGTGTCGGCTGAGAATGACTACCCACACCAGGGATGCTGCCCATCGCGGCCGGGGTAGAGAAGAAGCAACCCTTGGGGTCCTTTCACCGGCAGAATTCAACCCAGGTGGGCAACCCTCAGCTGACTTCACTGCGCTTCCACCCAAGGACCATCCCCGCCCCCTACATCCCAGCCTGGGAAGATTCTGCATTACAAAGCTCACAAAGAGGCTCAGAGAGGGTGAGCAAGTCACTCTCTGCTGCCCAGCGCAGCCAGGAAATAGACACATTTGAACTCGGACCTCCAGGCCAGCCTCAGATGGACGGACCCAGGCTACTTTTTAGTCTCCGTGCCTCCTCCACCACTCCAGACTCTCTCCACCACCCCAGAAAAGCAACAACAGTGTTTCACGGCGTGCGTGAGAGCTTCCTGCTTCGCAGGAATGAATCAGAGTCCTGTCGAGGGACAGTAAGTGAGAGAAAACCCCGAGATTCCTCCCTGCCCCACCCCATCACAGCACTTTCTTCTGGAGAAACTGCTTGCCTGCCGGGTCTGGGGAAATCAGAATGCGCACCGCCCCCCAACAATGCACAAAGGCCCTTTGAGATGGGGCAGCCCATGGTCACCCGCCAGAGGACCCAGGTATCCTATCCCTGTGCAAAGACACTGAGGAATCCCAGGAGGGCAGGGGAGGAGGCAGCAAAGAGAACCACGGGGGGACGGTGTTTCGGTCTCCGTATTGGTGCTGTGAGTGAACGCGCACTGAATTGGCAGAGATGCTGGGGACCGGCTTCCCCTCGGGGGGACCACCCCCCCCCCCCAGCAGCTGGCTCACCTTCTGGGCCTGGCTGATCATCTTTCGCACCACCTCTTTGATGTGGGCCTGCCCATCGATGGGGGGCTGCATGTAGACACTGGCCCGGGTCACACCACGGTAGGCAATGGTGTCAGGCCAGCCCAGGTCCAGCTGGGGGATGGATCGGTCCGACTTCTGGGGCCAGTACTCCAGAGAGGGCAGTGGCTCGGCCTCAGTGGGGTCCCCACCCGCCCTGCTGGCCTCCTCGCTGTCGCCAACGCCATTGTCCTCAGGACCCCGGGGCCGGCCGGCACCCCTCGGATCCTCGGAGCCTGGGTCATACACCTCAATGGTCTCCAGGATGCGCCTGAGCTCCAGCTCCGACAGGAAGTCCCGAATGTTCTCCCGATTCAGCACCTCATAGAAAGCCTCCCTGCCGCGGGCCACCAGGGCCTCCAGGGCCAGCCGCTGCTCCTCGCTGTAGAAGAACTCGGGCTTGGACTCACTGGAGCGCCAGTTGACGTGGCTGTCGTCCAGACACTGCACCTGGGAGAAGGCCATGTTGCCACTGCCCCGACGCCTGTGGCGGGGTGGGCGGGCGACAGAGCACTCGGCAAGGTCGGGCTCCGAACTCCGGCCCGACTTCGGCAGGGCGCACTCTGGGGCTCCACCTGCGCCTCAGCAGCTCTGCCCATAGGGAGTCTGCGGGAGAGGCCAAGTGAACGCAGAGGTCAGGGCAGGGTGCAGGCGGGACCGGGGAGGGGCGACAGGGTGACAGGGCGGGGGTGGGGCGGCAGTGGGCGAGATGGCGGGGCGGGACCCACGCCTGGGCGCGGTGTGCCTCTCTCAGTAGGGGCGGGGGGGGGGGGGGACCCGCATCCCGGAGGAACTGTGGGGCTGCCTAAAGTCCTAGGCAACTTCTGGGAGGAACCAGGGCAGGCAGGGAACTTCCCAGAAGTTTCCAAGAGTGGGGGTGGCAGGGCACAACTCGGAGGGCCGCTAGACCAGCTCGGCGGCGCCCCGCATTCCGACAGCTTCCGGGAAGGGCACGGGGGTCTTAAAATCTGAGGGCGCCACGACCCCGCAACCCGAGAGGGCTGCCCGGAGGAGGCTCGGGGAAGCGCGGCTGGCGGGCCCGGGATCCGGGGCCGCGGCCCGGGACTCGCTTACCGGGCGGGCGCGGGCGCGGGGCACAGCCGGCAAGGAAAGCCGCGCTGGCGGAGCGAAGCGCACCCGCGGCGGCTACGGGCTGGTGACTAATGCCGCCCCGCCCCCCCCGCCGCCGCCACCTGCGGTCACGTGCCGCCCTGGGGGCGGGGCCGGAAGCTGATTCACCACCCCCGCCAACCCCCCAGGGACATCGGCGCGGGGTGGCCGTGCTCCGCGTTTCCTCCGCTGCTACCCGTGCCGGGGTGGCCGAATTCTGGAAAGCCCAGGTACCAAAGTCCAACAGCTCCTGGAACATTGCAGCCCAGAGAGGGACAGTGTTCCTACTGAGAACACACAGCAAGTCAACAATCTTTGCACCGCCCCTCCCCCTGACCGCGGGGCCTGTTGGTAAACTTGGTCCAACCCTACCAGTATCGTTTCCCAGGTGGGACGGGAAGTCTGTGCAGATACCCAGCTGTCGGGTTGTGGAAGTAGAATTGGGGTACTGGACTGGGAGGCCCCAACGCAAGGATAGGGCACTGTCTGACCCATACTCAGGATGGAGCCTTTACAGAGCCTGGTGTGCAGAGAGCAGATAGATACCCAGTTCTTAGTCCCTAGCCCTGCTCCCTGCTGGGAGGGGTAACCCCCCAGGACTGGTCCCACATGATGAGCAGCGCCCTCCTGAACCCTGGGATGGGGAGAGCCAGAGAGGGCTGCTGTGGGCTGGAGTCAGGCCCAACTCTTGCGCACACACCCCCATCTTCCCCACCCCACTCAGCCACAGAGAAGAGGCAGGCGGTCCCAGGGGGCCAGCACTGCTTTTGGGGTCCTGAAGCCTGATTTATATAGCTTCACTGCCACCAAGGACCCAGAACAAGAGTTTACGGGCCTCAGCTTCTCCTTTTGCTATTATGACTGCACGTAGGCCCTGGGGCTCATGAAGGGAATCCTGGCTCTCGGGGCTGAAAGGCATGAAGCCCTCCAACCTTGCAGTTACCTGACCGTATTTACAGATGCACAGGAAGTTGTTAAAAACAGCAACAACAACACACCAACAGAGAGGTCACTGGGATCCTTCTCTCAGTTTCTCCCCATGGTATCATCTTGTAGAACTCTAGTACAATAATACAATAACCAGAAAATTGACATCAGTGCAATCCAGAACTTGTTCAGATTTCACCAGTTTACAAGTGTTCGTGTGTGTGTGTGTGTATGCAACTTTACCGCATGTGTAGATTTGTGTGGCTGAAACCTCCCTCGCTACCCACATCTCCATCCCTAACCCCTGTCAACCACGAAATCTGTTCTCCATCTCTGCAATGTTGTTATTTCAAGATGTTATATAAGTGGGAAGTACAGCATATAACCTTCGGGGATTAGCTTTTTCTCCCACTCGGCATAATTCTCTGGCAAGTCATCCAGGTCATCGTGCGTATCCGTAGCTTGTTTGTTTCTGTTGCTGGCTAGTATTCATGGCATGCGGGGACCAGAGTCTGTTCAACCATCTCTCCTGTTGAAGGACAATGGGTTGTTTCCAGTTTGGGGCTATTATGAATTTAGCTGCTATGAACATTCATATGCATATTATACATATTCATTTGTATATATGTTGTATTATGTATATTTTACATTCCTACCAATAACATATGAGCAATCCAGTTTCTCCACATCCTTGCCAACATTTTATGTTGTCACAATTTTATTTTATTTTATTTTTTATTTATTTTTTAAAGATTTTATTTATTTGAGAGAGAGAATGAGAGAGAGAGAGAGCACATGAGAGGGGGGAGGATCAGAGGGAGAAGCAGACCCCCTGCTAAGCAAGGAGCCCGATATGGGACTCGATCCCAGGACTCCAGGATCATGACCTGAGCCGAAGGCAGTCGCTTAACCAACTGAGCCACCCAGGCGCCCCACAATTTTTTTATTTTAGCCACGCTGATAGGTGTGTACTAACCTCTTCCTATGGTGTTAATTTGCATTTTCCTAATGACTAATGATATAGAACATATTTTCATGTGCTTATTTGCCAGCTGTCTGACCTCTTCAGTGAAATTCCTGTTCATGTGTTTTGCCCATTTTCTAAGTGGATTGTTCGGTTTTTCCTGTTGAGTTTTGAGAACTCTTTATACTTTTTTTTTTTAAGAGAGAAAGAGAGTGAGTGAGAGTGTGAGTGGGGGTGGGGAAGGGTGGGGGGGAGGAGCAGAGGGAGAGAGACAGAGAGAATCTCAAGCAGGCTCCACACCCAGCATGGAGCCCGACATGGGGCTCTATCCCACGACCCCAAGATCATGACCTGAGCTAAAACCAAGAGTCAGAAGCCTAACCAACTGAGCCAGCAGGGTTCCCTGCTCTTTATATATTCTAAATACAAGGTCTTTGTCAGGTCTATGGTCTGCACATATTTTCTGCTGGTCTGTAACTTTTTTTTTTAATATAAAATACAATATCATTAACTATAATCACTGTGCTGTACGTTAGATCTCCAGAATTTATTCATCTTATAATTGGAAGTTTGTACCCTTTAACTAATATCGCCCCTTTTCTTCCACCCCCCACAGCCCTATCATTCTACTCTCTTTTTCTGAGTTCAGCTTTTTTTGGATTCCACTTATAAGTGAGATCATATAGTATTTGTCTTTCTCTCTCTGACTTACTTCACTTAGCATAATGCCCTCAAGGTCCACCAGTGTTGTCACAAATGGTAGGATTTTCTTCTTTCTCAGGGCTGAATAATATTTCTGTGTGTGTGTGTGTGTGTGTGTATGCCACATCTTTATCCATTCATCTGTTAATGGACGCTTGAGGTTATTTCCATGTCTTGGCTGCTGTGACTAATGCTTCAATGAACATGGAGTACAGATATCTCTTCAAGGTAATGATTTCATTTCCTTAAGATATATACTCAGATGTGGCATTGCTGGATCAAATGGTAGTTCTATTTTTAGTTCTTTGAGAAATCTCCATACCGTTTTTCATAGTACCTGCACTGATATATGTTCCTACCAGTCGCACACCTACACACGCAAAAGGATTCCCTTTTCTCTACATCTTTGCCAACACACGTGATCTCTTGTCTTTTTGATGATAGCCATTCTAACAGGTGTGAGGTGATATTTCATTGTCGTTTTGGTTTGCATAGCCCCAATGACTAGTGATGTTGAGCACTTTTTCATGCACCCGTTGGCCATTTGTATATCTCCTTTGGAAAAATGTCTATTCAGATCTTCTGCCCACTTTTTAAATGGATTTTGTTTTTTTTGGGGGGGGGGGTTGCTATTGAGTTCTATGAATTCTTTATATATTTTGGCTATTAACCCCTGATCAGATCTATGGCTTACAAATATTCTTCCCAATCCATAGGTTGCCTTCTCATTTTGTTGATGGTTTCCTTTGCTGTGCAGAAGCTTTTTAATCTGTTGTAGTCCCATTTGGGTTTTTTTTTCTTTCTTTCGGTGTCAAATAAAAAAAAAAATAATTGCCAAGATCAATGTCAGGGAGCTTACCCCCCATGTTTTCTTCTAGGAGTTTTACATTCAAATCCTTAGTCCATTTTGAGTTGGTTTTTACGTATGGTTTGAGGTAGTAGTCCAGTTTCATTCTTTTGCATGTAGCTGTCTCATTTTCCCAAAACCATTTATTGAAGAGACTGTCCTTTCCCCATTGTATATTCTTGACTCCTTTGTCATAAATTAATCGACTATATATGTGTGGGTTTATTTCTGTGGTCTCTATTGTGTTGTATTGATCTATATGTCTGTTTTTGTGCCAATACTATATTGTTTTGATTACCATAGCTTTGTAATACAGTTTGAAATCAGGGAGAGTGATGTCTCCAGTTTTTCCTCTTCTTTCTTAGGATTGCTTTGGCTATTTGGAGTCTTCTGTGGTTCTATACAAATTTTTAGGATTGTTTTTTTTCTATTTGTGTGAAAAATGCTATTGGAATTTTGATAGGGACTGCACTGAATCTGCAGATGGCTTTTGGTGGTATGGACATTTTAACATGAATTCTTCTAATCTATGAACATGGTATATCTTTCCATTTATTTGTGTCATCTTCAACTTCTTTCATCAGTGTCTTATAATTTTCATTGTACGGGTCTTTCACCTCCTTGGTTAAATTTATTCCTAGATATTTAGTTATTTTTGATGCCATCATGAATGGGATTGTTTTCTTTATTACTCTTTCTGATGGTTCATTGTTAGTGTATAGAAACATGACCGATCTTTGTATACTGATTGTGTATCCTGCAACTTTACTGATTTTGTTCTGTAACTTTTCTTTTCATCCTTTTCACAGGTGTCTCACACTGAACTTTTAATTTTGATGAGGTCTACTCTATCCATTTTCTCTTTTATGGGTAGTGCTTTCGTTGTCAAGTCTAAGAACTCTTTGCCTAGCCCTAGGTCCTGATCTACTATTTTCTCCCTAAAAGTTTGATAGTTTTTACATATTACATTTAAATCTGTGATCTATTTTGAATTAATTTTTGTGTCAGGTGTGACATTTAGGTTGAGGTTGAGTTTTGGCCTCTGGATGTCCCCCAGAAGGACTTTACAGGGGAAGAAACAGCCTCAGAGACCTTAAATAATCACCCAGGATCATACAGTAGAGCGTTGGGATAGTTGGCCTTAAAATCAGGTCTGTGTGCTTTTCTCCTGCTCCTTATTGCAACATCCACATCTGGATTGTCTCCCTGGGATGGGCCAGGCCTGGTTAGGGAGTGGGGAGCAACTTGATTAGCCCTCCTGGTCTTATGTCCAGTGGCCTCCTTGGGAAAGGGTCATTCAGTCCATCAACAGACACTGGCAGAGGCTGTCACGGGTCACAGAGTTATTTGTGCCATGAGGATATTGCCCAAAGCCTGCACAGACATCCATAGGTTGAAAGTATGAATCCATATGAATTCCCTGAGTTTCTGAAAGAGGGAAGGGTATTCCAGAGAGAGGGAACAGCAAACACAGAGGCCCAGAGGTGTGGCTAAGAGGGTAAGGGGCCATGAATGGCACATTTAGAGGCTTGTGATCCCTCCTGCAGGGGATGGAGAGCCACAGAAGTGTGTGAGCAGGAAGGATGGTGGACAGAAATGGTGTTTTTAGAAGTTCCCTCTGCTGCATGCAGGGAGGGTGGGTTAGAGGGGGCAAGGCGGTGCAGTAAGGAGGTGGTGCAGTTCACCTGGTCACCAAGCCCAGTGGCTGGACTTGGTATCGGCCACAGGGAGGGAGGACGTGGGAGACAAGGAGAGGGGCAGCTCCCAGGCTTCTGGTGTGGGCCCTGGCTGGACGGAGGTGCCAATGCAAAAGTAGATCCCAGCTGGGGAGCTCGTAGGCCCACAGAAGCTGGCTCCCTGGCCAACTCAGAAGCCCCCCTCCCCCCCGCTGGCCCTTGCCATCCTGAGTGTGGCACATTCAGGGGACTTTAATGGCGCACCTCTGCCACTGTCATAAAGGAGAGGTTGTTCTTTCTTGCTGTTCAGCACAAACTCAGGCAAGTGAGCCAGTGGTGCCCAGAGGCGGAGGCCCATGCCCACAGCCTGGAATGGGCTGAATAAACTTGGCCAGAATCTCCTGACTCGGGCTTTCTGAGCCATTATGTGGCTGTGACTCCTCACCTGTCTCTACCAGGAGGGCTGGGTCCGGGCACCAGAGCAGGCCAGTCCAGGCCCAGAACCTGTCAGCAGGGGCCCAATCACCTGCCTTCTGTATGCTGGACCCCAGTGCCCCGCCACCCCGAAGTCCTGCCATGGGGCCTGGGGCTTTGTCCTGGGTCCAACTGTGTGTCCCAGGCCAGTCATGCCCTTTGTGGTCCCAAGTTCTCATCTGCGCACCGCTGGCCTGCAGCTGGATCAAATATTGCCTGAACTTCATCAGGACTGTTTTCTGGCATCCTTTCTCCTCCTCCTCTCCTCCTGTGCCTTGCCTCCTTCTTGAGAACAATTCACTCCATTACTCACTCATTCATTCACAAATGTTCGCAGGATCTCTTTTCTGGGCCCAGCCCTACACCGAGTGATACCCGGGACCTGGAGATGATTCAAACCCGGTGTCCGCCCTGGGGGAGCTCCCAGTCTGGTAGGGGAGGTAAAATATGCATACAAACTATCATGATTCAATCCTCGGCCATAGGAGCCTTTGAGAGGAAGCTGCTTTGCCGGCTTAGGGTTGGGGGGAGGGCAGAGGGAGTCAGAGAAAGCCTCAGAGGACCAGCCCTTTGCAATGGGCCAGGGAGCAGGAGGTAAACAAGGGTAGGATGGAGTCCTGGGAGGAGGGGACCTCGTCTGCGAAGGCCCGGAGGCGGCAAAGTGCTGGGTGTGTATGAGAAAACACCAGCAGGTCCGGGCGGCTGATGCATGCACACTGGATGGGAGGATCTGGGACCAGTTGACAAGGACCTGAAAGGCCACAGAAAGGATTCCACCACCACCACCCCCCCCCCGGAAGCTAGGGACTCCAGCAGTGTGTATGTGGGGGTGGGGGGGGGTGGGGGGGGAGGCCTCCTGAGAAGTAAGTAGTGTGAGCAGAGGTGTAATTTGGCAAGGATGGGGAGGATGGAAGGGAGGCGGGGAGGGGCTGGTGCCCAGGAGCAGGGCAGGGAGCCAAGTGAAGCAGGCAGGGATGTGGCAGGAAAAGCCATGGGGCTAGGGGGCTCTGGAGCTCCAGAGAGGGGCTGGGCTAGAGACCCGGGATGCCAGGTCATTGAGGATGGGGGGATGCTGCCCCAGCCCTGCTAGCCTGGAGGAAGGGTTCTGAGACCCACCTGCCATGGGTTGGGCATCCATGGAGGGACTTTTCAGAAGGGGCATTTGGAGGGGACAGTGGTTAACTCAGGAGTGCCTGGCCTGCAAGGGGAGCACCGTGGCTGGGGAACGCCGATGCCTGCTGCCGGATTGAAATGTAAGCGCCCACACTGGCCTCCCTTCCCCCTGGAGCGCTGGTCGGTGGCATCTGTTTCTGAACTTCCCCCACCATCAGCTATGCACGCTGTGGGCCCCCTGCTGAAAATCCCAGGGACACGGGCAGCCCATGGGGCGTGGAGAGAGTACTTCATGGGAGGAGCCCGAGAACGTGGGGTTGACCAGTGTTCTCCGCACTGCGCTGGGGAGCCCGGCTGCCGTGGGCAAGCTCTGGGAGTGAGGTGCCGTGCTTCCTGCCCACCCCGCCCAACAGGGTTCTGCTGGGGCAGCTTGCTAGGGAGGCCCGGATGCAAGGCTCAGTCCATTCAGTCCACAAATGAGCAGTGCGCCCCTCCTGCTGCAGGGCGCCACTTCTGAGCCAGTCCTCCTGGGAAGGCCTGGGCAGAGGGGCTGGTGGGGAAGGCCTCAGGTGACGGCGAGGCCCCTGTGGCTGGAGCAGGGTGGGGGGGCGGCAAGGAAAGGGACACGACTGGAGGAGCCCAGCGTCTCGATGACTGGAGAGTCTTGTGGACAGCAGAACTACTGGAGAGTTCTGACCAGGGTGTGATCTGGCTCCCCTGTGTTTTAAGGGTCCTCCAGGAGCTGCTGGAGATGGCTCCAGGTGGGGGGGTCAGGGGGACAGGACCCGGCCTAAAGCTCTGAGCCCAGGGGTGGGGGAAGGTGTCCCTCTAGCCTGCATTTGCCCCTCTGGGGAGAAGGGGTGGGGGCAGAAGGGGGGTGAGGGAGACCAGCGCCCCAGATGGCTTCTAACAGTGGACTACTCACGTGGGTGAGCAGGTGAGCCCCCTGGCCTGGCCTGGGAGAGGGAGAAGACATTACGACGGAGGACACCAGGCAGGAAAAAAGTTAAGGCTTTAGGGGCCAGAATAGTTCTGAGGCCAGCCCCCTCCTCGTGACCCAGGACCACATAGCTCCTGGTCAGAGGAGGTGACAGAGCAGGGCTGGGCCGGGGGCTGGCCCACCCTCAGGTGCTCACGGCTGTCCGAAGGGCGGGGTGGAGCAGCTGGGATATACTGGGCATCCCTCTGACGCAGATGACGTGGGCTGTGTGGTGCCGTCTGAGTGCCTTCGGGCCTGCGGGGCTGAGATCGGATGCTCCAACATCGCCTACCCTAAGCTGGTCATGGAACTGATGCCCATTGGTGAGACTCTGGGTGGGGTCCCGGCAGGGTGAGGGGTGGAACCTCGCGTGGGACTGGTGAGGGCGAGGGGCACCGGGGGCTGTGGAGGCCACTTTGGGTCCAGTGTGACATCCAAGTGGGATGTTCACTCATCGGGAAAGAGAGGAAGGTAATAATACTGGAAAATACTCACACGCCTCCCCCCCCCCGCCCCACCATGGGCCACGCAGGATTCCAAGGACTTTGCATGGGACTACCTTCCATCATTCCAAGAACCCTAAGTGCTGATATTATCACCCCCATTTTATTTTATTTTATTTTTTATTTTTATCTTTTTTAAAGATTTTATTTATTCATGAGAGATAGAGAGAGAGAGAGGCAGAGGCAGAGGGAGAAGCAGGCTCCCCGCGGAGCAGGGAGCCCAATGCAGGACTCGATCCCAGGACCCTGGGATCATGATCTGAGCCGAAGGCAGACGCTTAACCGACTGAGCCACCCAGGCGTCCCATCACCCCCATTTTAAAGATGGGGAAACTGAGACCCAGAGAGGTTGAAGAGACCTGCCCAAAGTCACGTGGCCAATGAGCCCCAGAGCTGGGTTCTCAACCCGGATAATTTGCCTCCAGAGCTTGTCCTCTTCCCCTGTGCTGTGCCATCCCTTGACAGAGGTCAAACTGCTTCCCACTTCCGGCTATGAGGTAGTTGTTAGCCCCGCTTTACAGATAGGGAAACTGAGGCACCGAGCGGGGAAAGTGACTTCTCCATGGTGACAGAGTGGCTGAGCCACAGACCCCGGTCTGTCCTGCTCCAACCCACTGCCGACTCCGCTGGGATCAGGAGCTCGGGCCCCCATGAGCCCCACGCCTCCTGCCTCCCCCAACAGGTAGAACATGGGGGCAGGTTTTGGCCTTTCCCACATTTCTTGTCCCAGCAGAGCAAAAAGAGGAGATAGCCTTCTGAGACCCTCTGCAGCCTGGTTTCAGCTCCAGATTCTCAGACCCTGAGTGTCTCCCTCCCTCCCCATGGCTTCCCCTATAGAAGCTTCCAGGCCTTGCCCTGCTTTCCCTCTCTCCCGGGGTGTGGAGGCCCAGGGTGAGTTCACAGACCTGGGATCAAATCTCAGCTCTGCCACTTGCTGGCTGAGATATTTGGGGCGTGTCATTTCCCTGCTGGGAGCTTCAGTGTCCTCATTTGTAAATTCCAGATAGTGACACCTACCCACCCCTCGGTGTGTTGTTGCTGGGATTAAACATAATAATGTTGGGACCCTGCCTGGCGCAAGGCTTGGCCTCGCTGTGGGTTCCCACCTCTGGGCCTCACCTTTCTCTTCTGTTCTGGGGGGCGGGGGTAGCTCGCTAAGCCCCCGAGTGCTGACACCCAGCCATTGTTGGGCCATAACCACTCTTTAGGCCTTGAGCTCCCTGTCTGAAAAATGGGTGGAGAAGAAGCCCCAAGTTAATTCCACCTCCCTGAGCAAGAGAAACAGGATGGAGAGATGTTTGAGGGAAAACCGTGATCTAACTCACTTTTCTTTGGGCCCCAGCCCTGTCATCGTGATAACTGAACAGAGAGGGCCATGGGATGCCTGGAAGTCACACAGCGAGTCAGACACAGAACCAAGGGCCAGGCAAAAATAGCACCAGGGAGGCTGAGCCCTCAGGGGAGGGGGGGCCATCAGTCAGGTTTAAACTAGGGCTGGAGGTAGAGGACAGACAGACAATCGGCAGAGATGGAGGGGAGGTGCTTAGACACTTGAAGAAAAGGTGTAAGAGGCCTTGGAGATAGAATCAGAGATGGAGGGGAGGTGCTTAGACACTTGAAGAAAAGGTGTAAGAGGCCTTGGAGATAGAATCAGACCGAGGCCCAGAGAGGGGAGCCGACCAGCCTGACGCCACACAGCACTGAGTCGGAAATTGAGCATCCTTCCGTCTCTCCAGGCTCCCCACCCTCAGCCCCTCTCAAGCCCACGACTCCCAGAAGGCTTTGCAAAGCAGAGCCTCATCCACCTCGATGGGGACCCCTCCCTCGTTTCCAGCCAATCCCTGGGTAGATTTTTCTCTCTCCCCTGGGGAACCGCATCTCCTTTTCCACAGAGCCAACAAGAAAGGGGTCCCCCCTGTGGCTCCTGGGGCCGGCCACACACCGGCCACTGCGCCCTGCCCAGGTTGTGACCTCTAAGCAGAGGGTCCTGGCCCAGGCCTTCCTGTCCCCGCCCCACCCCAGAGTTTTGCCACTGGCCACAGTGAGTCCCTGGGCACCTCTCCTCCCGCTAGGAGCTCCTACTTCCTCCTCTGTCAAACGGGTTAATAATGCTTCCGTCAAATGAAGGCCTGGGTGTGAAAGTGCCTTGTCATCTGCACGGCTCTGTACAAACAGGGTGCTCCTAACTGCACCCAGAACGGCAGAAGCCGTCACGGCTGTGACGATGGGGCCAGCAAGCCGCAAATCCAGAAGTAACCCCCTCCGCCCCGCCCCCTGCATTTGCCCTTGGCCCCCAGCCTCTCGCGACTGGGCCTTTCTCCCTCGAACACCTCCAGCCTCCTTCCTCCAGCCTCCTGGGGCTCTGCTCTCCAGGGCTTGTGAGTGGCCGATGCTCACGGTGGGGCCTCAGACAGGGGGACGCAGGCAGGAGGGGCTCCCGGGCCAGGTCACAGGCGCCCTGTCCCCACCCCCCAGGTCTGCGGGGGCTGATGATCGCAGTGATGATGGCGGCGCTCATGTCGTCGCTGACGTCCATCTTCAATAGCAGTAGTACACTCTTCACCATGGACATCTGGAGGCGGCTGAGGCCCCGCGCTGGCGAGCGGGAGCTGCTGCTGGTGGGCCGGTATGGTGGCTGGCGGGGGCGGGGGGGGAGGCTTGCCGGGCACCGGGGACAGGCTGGGACATGGGCTTCCCCAGCCGCACGATGGATGGCCCCGGAGGCCCCACCAGAGGGGGCCTTTGAGGGGTAAGTCTGAGTTTGCGGGTTGGAGGAAGGTCCATCTCACCTCCCATGTGGCTCTGCCCGCCCCCCCCACCATGGTGACAGCCCTCATCTTCGATGTATCTCTTTCTCTGAGCTGCAACTCTGAGCGAATCTCTGCTGGGGACAGTCCCCCTTCCCCAACCGTCCCAGAGATCTCTCTGTCTTCCCCCAATCTGAGCCCTTAGCCCTCCTGATAGAGGGGGCCCAGAGCCAGTTCTCAGGGGGGGCCACACTCAGGCCACAGCTGTCCCTGGCCCCCCTGAGCTTCTGCCGTTTCCTCCTAGCCCTGCTTGTCCCCTCCTTATCACCTCAATGACTCACCCCACGATCTTTCTAGACTCTGCCCAAGTGTCCCCTCCTCCATGTAGCCCTCCCTGATGTAGGAATGAGCCCCTCTCCCCTCTAAGCCTCCCACAGGGGACTCTTTCTAGACTCTGCCCAAGTGTTCCCTCCTCCATGTAGCCCTCCCGACTAAGGAATGAGCCCCTCTCCCCTCTAAGCCTCCCACAGGGGATCATGGTCAGACTCCTCCCACAGCACATGTGTCTCCCTGACGCCCCCCCAACCTCCACTCCCACGAGGACGGGCAGGGGCTGTGTCTGGCCCAGCCCTCCATCCCCGTACTCAGCAGAGTACCTGGGAGTCCTTTGGGGTGAACTCTGCAAAGTTTGGGGTGAACTGAGTGTGTGCATGTGCCTGCCTGCTTGGGTCCTCTCCCGGGTCCTACCGGCCTGTCTCCCTCCAAGCCATGCAGCCCCCCACTCCGCCGGTCGAGGGCCCCAACGGCCGGTGCCTAGCTTGACCAACAGCGCAGCCTCGGGCTCTGGGCCCATGGCGCCCATCCTCAGGGCAGGGTCTCCCCCGGAGCTCCAGGCAGCTGTCCCAGCGATGCAAAACAGCCGAGCTTCTGTCAGAAGGGCCCTGTTGGGACACGCCACTCAGCAGGTGAGCGTGAGCTCATCTGCAGGCTCACCGCCTCCTCCAAAACAAGGAGCCTCTCCCTCCTGCCTTACGGGATGCTTCTGTGTCACCGGGGCCTGGCCTCTTGACCTCCTCTCCCTGCCATGTGGTTCCCCTGCCTCTCCTCAGTGGCTGTGTGGCCCCGGAAGCCCACCCTCGTCTGACAGACTCCTCCAAAGCCCTTCCAGGCTCAGCATCCGGGGACACCTGACGCCTGAGTGCCCCCTACTTCCTGCCCTCCTCAGAAGCAGGCTTCCCTCCTGCTCCCACCTGAGACCAAAGTCCTAAACTGGCCTCCCCTCTATACCAACTCACCCCCAGCCAGGGGGCTCTTGACCCTCCTTCCCACCTCTCCTACCAAGTCAAGCCCCAGCCAACCCAGGCCCTGCCAGCCTGCCTCTGGGCACGCGGCTGTGTGATGTGGGACAGGTTGCTCACCCTCTCTGGGTCCTAGTTCTCTCAGCTGCCAGTTTGGTCAGGTGGGAAAGGATCCAAGGCTAGGTGTTGGGCGAGGGTTCAGCTCTAATGCATCTCCCTCATGAAACACCCAGACCCCCGCAACACCTCCAGCCTCCTCCTGCCTAAAACAACACTATTTAAGCTGTGTTTCCTGGATTGTATGAGGTCCTGTCTCTGGAGCCTTGATCCAAGGGGATGTGGGACGTACAGAGAGAGGGGCAGCGGAGCATGTGCAGAGGACTGGGGAGGAGGCCACCATGGGTCAGGGACAGGCAGGGGCATGCCGATGACCCTGACAGTCTTATTAGGTGGGGGTGGGGCCAGAGAAACCATCGCAGACCTGGGGCAAGTGACAGTCCCACATCTGGGGCCCTGATCTTTGCCAGGCTCCTCTGCCTGGTACTTCTGCTTCTTCATTTCCCTCCCCTGCTACCCCCGTCTGTCTACCATTCTACCTTCTGCCTATTATTCGGTCCACAAATAGTGCCCGATGCCTCCCTGCATAGAGCTGAACAAGATGGGGGACCCAGAAAGATCTCAAAGCCTTCACCTCGAGCCCTTGAGGGGCTCCCCTGCAACCACGGACGACAGTCAGTCATCCTGATGGCAGTGTGTGTGTGCAGGCGGGAAGGGATGGGGTTGGAAGGCTTCCTGGAGGAGGAGGGCCTTGAGCTGAGCCTTGGAGGAGGAGGGGGTTGGCCAGGGGGGGGAGTTGGGGAAGGCTATTCTAGGCAGAAGGAACAGCCTCTGGGCTTGTGGTCCCCCTGGAAGGGGAAACCCTAGAGGGCAGAGGGAAGGCAAGGGCCCCAGTCCAGGCCACTCTGGAGACACCTGGCCCTGCACAGAGATGCTGAGTCCGGTGTTGGACACAGGAGCCTGTGTGGGGAGGGTGGGGTGGGCCGGGTGTTAATGGAGCCCGCCTATGCCTTTGAAGAGGGCAGTGCCCACCCGCCTGCCAGGCTAAGGGCTAATTAGCCTTAATCAAGGTGGCACCTCCTCCCTCCACCCTCCCCCTCAGGCTTGGAAGGGAAGAAAGGGAGGCAGGCGGGTAGGCAGACAGGAAGGACCCATCCCAGCGGCACACATGGCTTCGCTCGCCCTTGCTGTCCTGTGCAGGGTCCGGGAGGCCTCACCCACCACCCACCTTGGGGGTGAGCGGTGTCCAAGTGAGCCGGGACACAGGGGCGAGGGGTACTCAGCCAAGAAGGAGCAGATGGGATGCCTCACCCCAGCTCTGTCTCCTTAGCTGGCCCCCACAGCTCTTCAAGACTGGAGGAGGTCCTCCTCTGCTTAGAAGCCCTCCTGGGTTACTGCTTCCTCTGGGCCCCCTCAGCCCAGACCCCTAGCACAGGGTAACAGGCTCATCTGCTTTCTTTGCTCTGCTCTCAGTGCTAGGAAGGGACCGGGGCCCACTCGTTATTGAGTCTGGGCTTCTGGCCCAGTGCGCTGCTCTTGGGTGGGCTCCCGATGGGCGGCTGCTGACTGCAGGAAGCATGTCCCTGCGGTGGAGGGCTCCCACCTAGAGGAGAGGCAGGCAGGAGCCAAAAGGAGGAGTCCACACAGGGTAGGGAGGCAAAGGGGCTCCTCTGGCCAGAAGTCTTGAGCTTCAGAGCTGAGGAGTCCACGTCCCAACCCAGACCCAGACTGCCCAGCCCCAGCCCTTGCCCTCTTAGGACAGAGGTCATCTGCGATGGGTGCAGGTCAGCAGCCCTGGGCTACGGGCGTGAGGAGTGTGCCAGCCACAGGCCACCGCTCCTGCCAGACCCCACCAGCGTTAGAGAAACCGCCAGGGGGGCAGTCTGGCTGGAATGCGAGGGCTGCAGGTCATTCTCGAAGCCACCAAATGTTTACGGGGCACCTACTGTGTGCCAGGGGCTGGTGCGTCTAGCCCAGAAGGGGAGCCGGACAGTAAGCAAGTGGGACGAGTGCTTGAGGACAAAGGGGAGAGCCTGGGGGGGCTTGAGGGGGGGGACAAGAAGGAGCAGAGAGGCTGAGTCGGGCGGCTGTACCTGCAGGTGGCCGAAGCCACAGAAGGGTTCGGGGCAGGGCAGGGCTGGCCACATCCCCAGAGGAGGGGACCAGAGGCTGGGGAGGAGGCTGGAGCTGGGGTGGCAGGGGACAGCTGGAGAGCAAATCTTAGTGACCGTGGGAGATGGGGGAGAATGAGAAAGGGTCTTGAGGGACGAGCACGCCCCACCGCCTGCCCACAGGCTGGTCATCGTGGTGCTCATCGGTGTGAGCGTGGCCTGGATCCCCATCCTGCAGGACTCCAACAGTGGGCAGCTGTTCATCTACATGCAGTCAGTGACCAGCTCCCTGGCCCCCCCAGTGACCGCCATCTTTGTTCTGGGCATCTTCTGGCGGCGAGCCAATGAGCAGGTGGGTGGGGGATGGGGAGAGCTGGGGCAGCAGACTGGACGTGGGGGGCAGACTCCGTCGTCTTCCTGCGGACGAGCTGTGTCTGGCTCCCATCTCCCACCCCACCCCTCCCCCTGCTGGCTGTGTGTGTGCTGGGGGAACCCTGGCCTCCCCCTCACGGTGCACCTGCCCCGCCTCCTCTTCCCCAGGGGGCCTTCTGGGGCCTCATGGTGGGGCTGGCCGTGGGCGCCACAAGGCTGGTCCTGGAATTCCTGCACCCTGCCCCCCCCTGCGGTGACCCGGACACGCGGCCGTCCATCCTTGGCAGTATCCACTACCTGCACTTTGCCGTCGCCCTCTTTGTGCTCAGTGGAGTCGTGGTGGTGGCCGGGAGCCTGATGACGCCACCCCCCCGGGGGATTCAGGTGAGCCTGCCCTGGCCCCTGACCCCGACCCCCGACCTTTAACAAACTTTTAACGCTGGTCCCATTCTGACCCCTGACACTCTGCGACTCCGGCATTTTCTAGCTCTGGACCCCTGTCCCTTTTTGAACTCAGCTGCTCACTTACCATCCCTGACCCCTGTCCCCGTCCGGGCCCGGCCCTGTCCTGCCACACCCCCGTCCTGCCACACCCCCCATCCAGATCATTCTCTGCAGATTGAGAACCTTACCTGGTGGACCCTGGCTCAGGATGTGCCCGTGGGAGCCAAAGCAGGTAGGTGTGTGACCCTAGGCCCTGACTCTAACTCCCACCCAAGAAGTCCGGGAGGTGGGGGCGCTGGGTGTGGCCCTGTGGCCCTCACCTGTCTCTTTGCCCTGCCCCCCAGGTGATGGCCGAATACCCCAGAAGCACACTTTCTGGGCCCGCGTGTGTGGCTTCCATGCCATCCTGCTCATGTGTGTCAACATCTTCTTCTACGCCTACTTCGCCTGATGCTGGCCTTGGGGGCAGGAAGGCCAAGCCCTGGGAGTCCTCAGGTCTCCCTCGCTTTCGAGGCCTGGAGAGGTGTGGACTCCCCTCACCTCACGACTACATGGCCAGTCAGCGTCCAGGGACTGGCTGAGCCAGCAAAGCAGGGGCCCTGGAAAGGTCGGGGGGCAATGAACAGAAAGAACGTGGTATTTCAAAAATTGCACAAAGTAGTCTTGACGGCAACGAAAATTAGATTTCCGATGACCATCCTGATACTCATTTTACTGTTTTTATTTTGAAAACATGGGCCCAGGTCAGGAGCAGCTCAGGCCTTGAAGGGTCGCTGGCCAGCCCTGGGCAGAGGGAGAGCCTAGGGCCCCCTCCCCGGGCTCTTGCCCCCATCCCACCTGCTCCCAGCTGCCATGAGATCTTCCTCTCCCTCCCTTCCCGCTCACTGCCCCCTCCTCCACCAGCCTGGCATCCAAAGCACTTTCTGAGTCCCCCTCACTCTTCCTGCTCCCAAAGGTGCCGAGGCCCTGGGCAGGTGCCCCTTGCTACCTGCTGCTGGTTGCACATTCTGTGTGGACACCCCACCTTTCCTCAAGCCAGGGTCCCATTCCAGATGCCGTTAGACCTCCCAGTCCAGCAGCAGCCCTGACTTCCCACCTGGCCTGTAGTTTCGCTGAGCTCGGGGGCCCGGGTCTGGGCAGAACTTGGACCCCAGCAAACGACAGCCAGGGCGGGCAGGTCCTCCAAGTGTCCGTGCCCCAGGCCTGCGCCACGGAGCTTGTCCATTGTGTTGGGCCTGTGGGAGAGGAGAGCCTCCCTCTGTGTCTTTCATCACTGCCCACCTCCTGTGGGTCTCCCCAAAGTGTCCGTGGTGGGGCGGGGGTGTGGGACACGCAAGTGGAGCCCAAAGTTTCATGGGGCTGCCGAGAAGTCGGTCTCCACCTGGAGTCAGTCCATCGGTCCAGGCCAACAGGTGTGCAGCCCCTATCCTGTCCCTCATCACTAAGCCACCTTCCCAGTAGCCAGCACCCCTCAAGGGGCCATCTGAGGGTGGGGCAGGTGGGCCCAGCAGAGGGTCAGCCCAAGGTGAACCCACCTACCATACGCATGGTTCCTTGGGCAGAGCCCCCAAAGGCCTGCAACTTAGGAGTCCTCAACTCTCCCTGAGGTTGGGGCCATTGACGGCTGGAGGTGGGGGGGCTTCTTCCCCCAAGGGCACCCCGCAGCTGGTAGCCAAGGGGAAGAGGCCAGCAGGAATCCCCGGGGGCTCCCCTTGCCTGCCGGGCACTGAACATTACAATGGTTCTTGGGCCCCGGGGCCCACCCCAGTTTGTGCAAAGCAGTGGGCGCCTAGCCCGGCAGTGGGAAGACCCACTTTCGGGTCCAAGACCCTCGGCTGAGTCCTGTGGGCCCCGGGGACGGGGCGTCCACGTCTTCTCTCGGGACCTCAGTGTCTGGCGGGTGGATGATCTGCCGGCTCTGCCCCCGCCCCCGGGCCCCACTGGGTCACAGCTGCACTGGCTGGACGTAGCTCCGCGGGAAGAAGCCGATGCGTCCACACAACCGGCCCCGCCACCAGTGGGGGTCAAGGCGCTCCAGGACCTCGATGATGTCACCGCGGTGGAAGCTGAGCTGTGAGGAGTCCTGGGCTGAGAAGTCAAACTGCGCCTGGGCAAAGCAGGCCTGGGAGGGCTGTGAGGGAAGGGGGTGGTTAGTGGGGACCTTTCAGGAGGCCCCAACAGCGGGTGGGAGAGCAGAATTGAGCTCAAACTCGCTTCTCACTCCAAATCCAGACAGATGGCCACCCCACCCCAAGAGCCCCCCGCTGCCTGCCCCCTGAATGTCTGCCGCACAGAGACTGTGTCTACACAGACCAACAGGACTGTCTGGTCCGCAGGAACAGGCCCTATAAACTGTAAAGTGCTGTGTGGCTGAGAACAGGGTTGACGGCTGTTGCCCTTGACCAGGCTTTGAGGGAGAGGGTGTCACCAAAAAGAGCTGCTCCCAGCTCTCAGGCCTGGGTTCTGCTCCTATCTCTACCCCAAGGTGACCTTGGGTAAGACCCTGCCCTTGTGGGACTTAGTTTCCCCATCTGCAAATGGCAGCAGGACAAAGCTCTCTGCAGGCACGTCGGCCCGGCGCCGTGACGATTATACCCGGTGTCCCGGCCCTGCCTGCCCCACCAGGATCTCTGTTCTGAGCCTGTGGAATCTTATCCAGGATGGGTGATAGGATCAGCAGACAGGCTCTAATTAGCAGTTCTCTGCCCAGGAAGGAGGAGGCGGTAGCATGGGTCCCACAGGGTGGGTGACCCCAGGGCCCAGGCTGGAGTGAAGCAGTGGGTGTGGGGAGCCGTCAGGCAGCCCCCACCCTCCCCAGCTCCATCCTGGCTCCCTCACATTCTCCAAAGGCAGATCTGGCCGACGGTGGAGGGGAGAGAATGGAGGTCGGGGACAGAGGCCTAGCAGGGCCAAAGCTCGCTAAGACTGAGCGCTCACAGCTAAGCCAAGCCCCCACGGTCAGGCTGAGGAGGCCGAGCATCCTGGGGGCACAAACCAGGACGGAGCCGACCCCGCAGGTGGTCTTGGGGGAGCCTCAGTTTCTTCACCTGTACAATGGCGACGATGAGGCCCCCAGCGGACTAAGCCCAGCTCAGTGCATGGCAGCCGCGTGGCTCCGCAGGGTATCAGGACCCTCGTGCATTCAAAACGCGTACCTACTGTGCCCACGCAGGGCGCCGCCGCGAGCTGAGAACGAGCCAGACGCGGGGTGCCCCCTGCAATGTCCACTCTGTTCCTTCCCCTTCTCTCCCTCTGCGTTCCCACCCTTGCTGGTCCTACTGCGGTGCCACCAGAATGGGACTTCAGAGCCTGGCCTGGCCCCCTCCTCCTGGGACACCAGGCTGCGAGGGGCGGGGCGGGGCGGGAGGCCACGCCCACTCCCGGCCCCAGCAGGTGTCGAGCCCCCGTGGAAGGCAGAAGGCGCGGAGAGGCGCCCGCGGGTCCGCCCGCCTACCTTGAGCAGGGGCTCCTCGTCCCGCAGGAAGACCTGCCGCTGCTTGGCGATGGTCGTGGTGCGGTAGAAATCCACCAGCTCGTTCAGGGAGTTGAACTTCTCTTCCCACAGGAAGTACTTCCCCGAGGCCTCGCGCAGCACCTTGAAATGCTGCACCTGGTCGCCGTAGCTGGGGGAGAGGAGCCCCCTGAGCCGGGACTCAGGGTCCCCCCGGGGGGCCCCGTCCCTGCCCGCACAGCCCCGGGGCCTCCCTCCTCATCCCCACCGGGAAGCTGGTCGCTCTGGCTCCCGGGGGGGGGGGCGGGACGGGGATGGGGGGCGGGGAGGGGGGAACACCTGCGGGCAGGAGAAGGGGCAGGTCCGGGAGGGCAGGGGCCGGGCCCACTGACCCGGCGGGACGTGAGACCTGGTGAATCCCCCTCGGCGGTGGACTATGGAATTAAGGGTGTGGGCGCTGGAAGAGGCCACTGGCCTGCTGTGTGACCTTAGGCAAATCACTGAACTTTAAATCTCAGCTTCTTCATAATGGTAGCTCCTCCCTTCTGGGTAAGTGTCCGGAAAGTGCTGCGGATGGCTGATCGGCAACATTAAATGGGTTCCTCGGAAAAAGTGGTCACACAGCTCTTCTCCTCCAGCCGTGACATTTTCCCCCATCCTTCTCCCGGCCTTGCAGTCCCACTGAGGAGTGAGTCCTAAGACCATCCTGACTCAGACAAAGCCTGCCTCCGTATTGGGTGCTTCCTGTCTCTTCCTGCCCCCCTACCTCAAGAACCATCTATGGCTCCCCATTACCCTCCAGATAAAATCTTAACACCTCGGACTCAAGATTTGGCCCCGGTTACGTGCCCAGCCTCATTTCCTTCATAAACTTCATATACTCTCTTCCCACATGCCTCATGTCCCATGCCAGGACAGGCCACAATGGATTGGGACCGGAGAGGGTACCGGCGTGGGTTGGGACAAGGGGTAGCACAAACCATTGTGATTCCCCTCGCTGCTGCAGGCCGGGCCCACCACATGGCCCAGGAGGTGCAAATCGGGCCCTTTGTACAGTGGGGAAACTGACGCTCCAAGTGCAAACTGTGACCTTCCCAGGGTCACACGGCAGCAAAGCCAGGGCTGGGGCCACATTTGTGGCCAGAGCTGGGGCCTCATGTCAAGTGTCATTCCAGCACGCTCCCCTGTTGGTTCTCATCGTATAACAATAGGAATAATAATTATTCCAACTGTGGTATTGATAATGTCCCAGACCTTGTCATCCCAAGTCCAGGACTACTCCCTGGGCTGTGACCCCTAGGAGGCCTTCCCTCTCTCAGCCTCTGTGCCTGGCCGTATCGCAGCCATCCTCCCGGGCTCTGGTCAGCTCACCTGGGCCTCAGTGTCCTCACCTGCCCAAGGAAGGGGAGGGCTCCCGGCAGCTGCAGGGAGAACACAGAAGAGCCCCGGCTTCCCCGCAGGAAGAAGCTGGTTTAGGAACCTGCCCCGGGCTGGTGGAGCTGAGAGCCCAGGAAGCCCGGGACCTGTGGGCGTGGCCACGCATGTGTGCTGGGGGCACAGGCTGGCCACCGGGCGGGCACAGGCCCCTCGGCCACCTGGGCCACGGGTTGTGCTCTCATTTTGTGCAGGACTAAGTGAGAACCAAACAGTGGTCTGGAGACTTGATAGTAAAAAGGAAAAAACATCTCCTGGGTTCTAAATTTAAATCTTGTTAAACAATTTTGTAAGCTGGGGTTTGCCCACAGCCTGGGGTCCTCCAGGCCCACAGTCCAGGGTCTTGCAGGGCCCCAACAGGAGCACGGGACGGTCACCCGCAGCCCCCCAGGTCTCCTGCTGTCTCATCCCAGCCTGCCATTCACCTCCTCCCCCTGTCAGCCCTGGGGTTGTTGTGCCGCTTTGTTAAACGTTTAAGATTAAAGACTGAAGACAAAGAATTGTTCAAGGTGTGTGTGTCTGGGGGGGAGAATGGGGGTCAAAGTGGGATGCCCTCACCTTCCCATGTTAAGGGGTCCAAACCACACAGAACCCCTCTCTTTCCACTCAAACATATCCCCCCTCCAGGACTTTGCATACACGATTGTCTCCAAATTCTTCTCCAGTCAAACTCCTACTCATACTTCGAAGCCCAGGTAAAATGGCCCAACTAAGTCCGAGGCAGAGGTCTCCTTAGGTTCCTCAGCCCCTCATACAGCCTTCTTCTAACCCATTGCTCCTAATGGCTTACACAGAAAAGGCAGGGAGGCAAG